CTGGCCAAAAAACAAAAATAAAATTAAAGCCAATAATAATTATTTTAAAGCACAGAAAAAGGATGAAAATAATAATATATTCAAATGATTAGCAAAGCAGATCACTCAAAAAGTACTAGACGAGCTTAATATTATTATGCGAATTCAAGATGCTTCTCTAGTGCAGATTAAATTTAATGAATATTTTGTGCAATGGATATCTTTTAGTGAAGTCGAGTGGGTAGAATATATAAAAAATGAGTATAAAGGTAACTATAAAAAGTGGGTTGATGCATATTGTCAATACAAACACCAAGAAATGAATACAACTAATTTTTTAAAATCTTGGTATAAAAATTTAAGTATACTTATTTAGATGCAAAGCAGAATCATCAGAAAATTTTTTAAATAGATAGAAATCGATGTATATTGCAATAAACGTTTATATCGATTTAAATTAAACGTTATATATCGATTAACCTGATATATATCAAAAATTGATTAATAACGAAAATAGGTAATAAATCGATATAGATCAAATTATCAATTATCATCGAACAAGTCAAAATTGCAATATATCGATTATTGCGTTATTAATCAATCAATAGTATATATATTAATTGATAGAACTTTGATTTAGATATACACTTTAAATGTTAGAACATAAACCTGTTCACAAAATATTCATTTGTTTTTTCGAATCTTACAACTATATATACGGTTCTATCTATACTTTCAATAGGTATACAACTGTATTGTTTAATTAATTTTAATTTCAGACATTCCTACAATTCACCATTTACTTCATACCAACAAACAAGAACAAGTTCTAATAGATCTTTGTCTATCGTTTGATAAAATTTGAGTATTAACAGGATCTTATAAATAATATTTTTTTATTTGTATTAGTATATATTACTCACGAAGTTAGAGAATAGTGGGAATATTTATTAACTTTGTCGCTTATAATCATTATTACTATTATTGCTATTTATTGTTAAAATGCATTAAAATCATGTATAAATCAAATATAATGAAATCAATGTTACCAAGTTATATCAATTTATTTCATTTTCTTGATCATCAAGTGCACTTACTATAAAATTAGAAAACATTGGATTTTCATGAAAATTTGATGAAGCATGAATTATATCAGTACTTTCTAAAAATGCAAAAGAAAATATTTCTATTCGATTTTCTTCGTCAAGAGACGCAATTGATTCTACTTCAAAAAAATCATCAAGACCAGTTAATAAGTTTTAAAACTCTTCAATTTGTAATGGGTCCATATCATTTTTGTTTTTCTTAAGGAAATTATCCAGCTCCTTTAAACTTAATATCTACAAAGATTTTTTAAACCCTTTTGTTCAGCGATATTTTTTGTAAGCATCTGTTTCGGTTAGTTTTTTCTGCTTAACCTAATAATAATCAATTATTAGTGATACTTAGGTAGCATTATTAGCATTGGGCATATGTCCAATGCTAACACTGATTTACTATATTTAAAACGTACTGCATTCAATATTTGTTTTATATAGTCTTTCTTGTTTAACATTTGATAAGGTATTTTTACATAGTCCTTATAAAGTGTTTCATAAGTTTCAGTGGTCATACTATTGATTGACCCATATTTTCTAATTGCAAGTACTATATGATAGTACCAAGAGTGAAGCTTTGAAAGCTGGAGACTACTTGAATTGTATTTTGAAAAAATTTTAACAAACTCTTTGGCCCAGTCCAAAATGAAGGTCTATAAAATTAATTGTTATTAATTGTTAATAATCAAACCATTTTAAAAAGCTAAATATTTAGAATCTTTGCTATAAAATTCACCCTTCGGGACTATGTAATTCATAGTCCTGAAGGGTGAGGTTGTTAGCAAAGATTCAATTTGTTTTGTATCTGTAATTGATTTAAAGAATCATCAGTAAATGATTCTTCTCGCAATGAAAATATATCTGAAGAAATTTGTAATATACGCGGTATAACTGTTCATTACTAATTCCTAGCATCCTATAATCTTTATATAGGTTGTCAAGTATGAAAATTACTATTTTCATTAAATTTCTGAATTCATCTGCTGTTATGCGTGTTATATCAGATATATTTTTCAATATTTTGAGGCCCTGATGTCTAGGAATTAGCGTTAATTATTGTTTAAAGATTTGCATTACTTGTCTTTCACACTGATCATATAGAAGGTCTTTAGTATAGTCTAGCATATATTTAAAAAGACCAAGATCTAAGGTATGCATTTGATCGGAAACGATGGCCCGATATATATTAAAATTGCATAAAAATAAAAAAAAAGATAAACACATTTATTATATTACTTATTTAATAAATCTAATTAACTTTAATTTATACCTTATTTTCTAGAATGCATTTGGTTCAGGATGAATTGAATAATAATTTTCTTTGCTATCCTCTATTACTTGTTTTATACTATCATGGGTTCTTAGCAACATATTAGTCAAGTCACTATTATTCAAGTCATCTCTTGATACTAAACACAAATGACAAAGCCTTCTTGATGCAGATAGCTGATAAATGTTAGCTAACGTGCTAGCCTCAAGCAAGTTAGCTAATAACATAGAAATTCGTAAAATAAATGTTATTATATTGCCACAAACGACAAAATTAAGCTCTGAATTATTAATAATGGGCTTGATTAAAATCCTTAAGCATTCATGAAAAACTTTTCTTTTTAATTTTCAAAATTCTTTGAACTTTTTCATCGTGGAATCTTTAGCCTTTAAGATAGATAAGTACCTGATTAAAGCTTTAGATTCTGGTTTGTTTCACTAGGAGTTGGGAATGTTAACTAGAGTTTGAACCTGGTTTTATTTTTCATATATTAAAACTGATTAAAACCAATTTATAATATGAAAAATAAAACTGATTTTAAACTCTAATTGTTATCTGAGGATAAAAATATGGGGTGCCTGAAAGATTTTCCATATGGTCTAGGGTAGTTGTATTGGAATAAAGGATTATCAATAATAATCATTGATCAAGAAGTAATGATGATTCTTCTTATTCCTACCAGAGGCAATTATATTGCTCTTCAAAGATGCGGCACTTCACATTATTTCTTATCTCCCTTTTATTTTCAAAGTTAAGTACCAATTGCTGATTTATACTATCGATCATTAATAAAGACTTTATTGTCTTTATTAATGATTGATAGTATAATATATACTTAATACCTTGATATATTATAATAGGAATTTCTTTGAACATCATATGAGGGATTGTTAAATTATCCAGAAATTCCTTTCCAATCTTTGCTGTTGGAAGGAGGGGCGAAACATCCAAGTTTGAATGCTTATTAAAAAATTTTATAAAAGCATCACCAACCGAATTAGACAGTTGATATCTACTGACTATTTCTATAAATTCACAATATGCATCATTGGGCCAGTTAACTTTGTGTGGATGATGCAAATCATTAAAAGCATCATCGAGTGAAGCTCCTTCATAGTCTTCTGGATCAATATTGATAGATTCTATAAAAAGATCAGAATCTGCTAAAGAATGCTCTGTTTCCATATCAGAATAAGGTGATACGTCTTCATTCTAATATATAATTATTAAACAACATTTTGTAACCAATAATAGTATTTATAACCAACTTACCTTATATGTTATAGAATTTTCATTTTAGTTATTTTCTGTTTGTATAGATCCAAATAAAGGTGACTCTGACATAACTTCGTTCTTAATTAAATATAATCGTTTATTATCATTTTAAAACTTTAATAACAAATCATTACTAATTTACCTCATATATTATAGAAGATTCATCTAAAGAAAAGTTATAACTAGAGCTATATTCTGAAAGATTCCAAATATTATCATCTAATTGCTCGGCAGGAACAGATTGATTTGTCATGTCATTAATATAAGGATGACTTTGAGAAATGTAACGAGTTAATGCTTGAGGTCTTGAAAAATTACAAATACAATATGGACATTGCCAATGCATTTTAGAAAAAAATAGAGAAACGAAAAAAGAGAGAAAAAAATGAAAAGACAAAGAAAGAGAAAGAGAGAAACAATATAAAGAATCGAAGGAAAACAAATAAAACCGAAAATAAGCAATATTAAGAGAAAAAAAAGAAAAAAGAGAGAAACAATGTAAAGAAGTGAAGAAAAAAAATTAAACCAAAAATAAGCGATATTAAGCAAAGAGAAAGAGAAAGGATAGAAACAAAGTAAAAAACAATTTAAACTGAAAATAAGTGATATTAAGCGAAAAGAAAGATAAAATAAGAAAATAAAAGGAATGTTAGGATCACCGAAACCTGGATTCTGTTCTTCGGATTTAAAAACAACAAATGATAAAAAAGAAAATAAAAAGAAAATTGGATTAAAGTGATTATCAATTATAAAAGGATCAAAGAAAGTCACGAAAGAATGTCTAAAGGTAATATTCAAAGAGAATTTGATTTGTAACTGTATCTATATATTAATTTATATTAATTTATATTGATTTATAATAATTTAACTTTATTTTTCTATCAAAACAATTTTATCGCAAAACTAACTTTGTAAACAACTTGCGTCATATTATGCGTGATATAATAATATGAACAAATTGGTGTTATATAAATGCCGCTAAAAGAATACCTGAGTCACCGGACTTTCAATTGTATTTTGTACCAGACATATTTCTAATAAATTAAATAGATTGTGTCTGGTACAAAATACAATTGAAAGCCCAATAACTTGAATATTCCTTTAGCAGCACTCATATAATCTTATTGAGTGTAATATTATTTAAATTTGTGACGAAATTATGCAATATAGCAAAAGCTTAGTTATGCGATAAATCTCAAAACATTGTCATTATAAGTATAATAATCAAAAGTCAACAGATAAGTATTTCTCTTTTATTTACATTACGTTTTTTATCATTAGATTTTAAATTTTATTAATTCTTGCAAAATTGTTACAATTATATAAATACAATAGTTTTCTAAGGTTTGAAGGTAAGGACATTTTTGAAATTTTGAATAATGGAAAACTTATCTTCTACTACCTCTACTCAACATGCTTGTTCTCAATCGGTTTCTGATACACTACATAATACTACTGACCCTAAACAACCGCCTCAAACTGATCGTTCTCAATCGGTTTCTTCTAATATACCATATAAATCCACTGATCCTCAACTAATATTTACTAATACACCATATAAATCCACTGATCCTCAACCAACATCTAACAATGCTAACCCTCAAAAACAACCTAAAAATACTTGTTCTGACGATGATTCAGATTTATCTACAAAAAGTATTTTAAGTATGCAATCCATTTTTTCTAAAATAAGTGGAAGAGGCTAACAACAAACATCTCAATGCCAACAATCTCAACGACAACAATCTTGTCAACCTTCTCAAAGATGCTCGCCTCCTCGTTCTCGTCGTACAACACCGAATAACAATTTAAATCGTTTCTTATCACCGCAGCCTTCACCTAATCATGAGCATAGAGGAAGATCACGTGATAGAAGATCATCCAACCAAGATGCACCACGTTAGTAATTTTTTCAATATATAAGCTTTTTTTTTTTTTTTTTCTTTGAATGCTTAAGTTTTATTTTTTTTTTATTATTGAGAATTTTTTTTTTTTGATTTTTGTTAAAAACAAAAAAAAAAAGACCGTCGACACCACCATCAAGAGTTCGAACAACTTTATACACAGAATCATCAATTATACTTATTATTAAAGCAGCTCAATGAGAATATTTAAAGAATAGCCACCGAACTAAAAAGGAAGCAAGAAGAGTATAACAATGAGCTCTCCTCTCAAGTGATAGATATAAATAATTTTTCCTCTTAATATGTTTTTTTATATTTAGCTTGTTTTTTGATTTAGCCTGTTTTTTTGTAACTGTTTTTTATTTTAAAGGGAATATATAATGGTGTTGTAAACCGTTTATTTCTATTCCATGTTTATCCAGACCAAAATATCCTGAAAGAAGCTATGAAAAGCTACCTTGAGGATCAATTCCCTAAGTTCTTGCGTAGTATGACTTCTAACCAATTTACAAATCATTTTCACAGTGAATAGTGTAGTGCGGTACATTATTAATCAATAATAATCGATAATAATTTTTTTTTAATTTGTTATTGTTATTAATTGCTTATAATATTATTTTATATTCGCGATCTTTGCATTATAGTATTACTACTTTAAATATTTTAACTGTATAAATTTGTTATTTTAATAGCTTCTCCAAAAAATAAAGAATTATAGAGGTTCAGTGGTGCAGAGCGTTAGATCGACAATGTGGAAAGTTTTTGGATCAAAATGGTTACCTCCCTTGAAAAGTAACACCAAGGCTCATGTAATCGTAAAGTGGAAGGAAAATCCAAAAATAAGCGAATGCCATCGTTTATTATTCGAAAAAAATGATGATAGTTTGTTCTGAATCTCCATAATAGCAAGGACTGCACTTTCAGAAGTTGCAGTTTCTACTCTAACGAATGAACATTGCGCTTTTGCACTCGCGGTGTGCGATGTATTTTTGCATCCCAAATCTAAAAGTATTACATGTGATGAAAAAAATATGAAATGTCAGATCAAAAGCTATCTTGTATGTATTTACTGTTTTTCTTTATTTCTTTATTATAAGATTATTGTACAATACTAA